AAAATATCTAGCATAGATGGGACTCGCAACAATGGCTTTAAACTAGAAAAATTCATATTCAGGAAGGATATAGGAAAGCACTGGTTTGGTAATAGAGTTGTGGATGAGTGGGACAAACTCCCAAGTACTGTCATAAAGGCTAAGATGTTGTGTAGTTTTAAAAATAGGTTAGGTAAGTACATGAGTGGGTGTAATTGGGTGCGAGTTTGACCTGACTAGCTTGTGCTACTAGGTCAGATGCCGTGCTCCTTCCTTAAGTGAACGTGACCTGGCTTGACTAGGTTAAGGCATTGGCTTAAACCGGTAAGAGAATTGAACCTGCCTTGCAAGGGCCAGTAAGCCTGCTGCAGTGTTCCTTCTTCCTTATGTTTTTTTTTTTTTTTAACAAGTCGGCCGTCTCCCACCGAGGCAGAGTGACCCAAAAAGAAAGAAAATCCCCAAAAAGAAAATACTTTCGTCATCATTCAACACTTTCATCTCACTCACACATAATCACTGTTTTTGCAGAGGTGCTCAGAATACAACAGTTTAGAAGCATATACGTATAAAGATACACAACATATCCCTCCAAACTGCTAATATCCCGAACCCCTCCTTTAGAGTGCAGGCATTGTACTTCCCATTTCCAGGACTCAAGTCCGGCTATATGAAAATAACCAGTTTCCCTGAATCCCTTCACTAAATATTACCCTGCTCACACTCCAACAGATCGTCAGGTCCCAAATACCATTCGTCTCCATTCACTCCTATTGAACACGCTCATGCACGCCTACTGGAAGTCCAAGCCCCTCGCCCACAAAAACCTCCCTTATCCCTTCCTTCCAACCTTTTCGAGGACGACCCCTACCCCACCTTCCTTCCCCTACAGATTTATACGCTCTCCATGTGATTCTACTTTGATCCATTCTCTCTAAATGACCAAACCACCTCAACAACCCCTCTTCAGCCCTCTGACTAATATTTTTATTAACTCCACACCTTCTCCTAATTTCCACACTCCGAATTTTCTGCATAATATTTACACCACACATTGTCCTTAGACAGGACATCTCCACTGCCTCCAACCGCCTCCTCGCTGCTGGATTCACAACTCAAGCTTCACACCCATACAAGAGTGTTGGTACTACTATACTTTCATATATTCCCTTCTTTGCCTCCATAGATAACGTTTTTTTGTCTCCACATATACCTCAATGCACCACTCACCTTTTTTCCCTCATCAATTCTATGATTAACCTCATCCTTCATAAGTCCATCCAATGACACGTCAACTCCCAAGTATCTGAAAACATTCACTTCTTCCATACTCCTCCTCCCCAATTTGACATCCAATTTTTCTTTATCTAAATCATTTGATACCCTCATCACCTTACTCTTTTCTATGTTCACTTTCAACTTTCTACCTTTACACACTCTCCCAAACTCGTCCACTAACCTTTGCAATTTTTCTTTAGAATCTCCCATAAGCACAGTATCATCAGCAAAAAGTAACTGTGTCACTTCCCATTTTGTATTTAATTCCCCATAATTTAATCCTCTTTGCCGATGACACTGTGCTCTTGGGAGATTCTGAAGAGAAGTTGCAGAGATTGGTGGATGAATTTGGTAGGGTGTGCAAAAGAAGAAAATTAAAGGTGAATACAGGAAAGAGTAAGGTTATGAGGATAACAAAAAGATTAGGTGATGAAAGATTGAATATCAGATTGGAGGGAGAGAGTATGGAGGAGGTGAACGTATTCAGATATTTGGGAGTGGACGTGTCAGCGGATGGGTCTATGAAAGATGAGGTGAATCATAGAATTGATGAGGGAAAAAGAGTGAGTGGTGCACTTAGGAGTCTGTGGAGACAAAGAACTTTGTCCTTGGAGGCAAAGAGGGGAATGTATGAGAGTATAGTTTTACCAACGCTCTTATATGGGTGTGAAGCGTGGGTGATGAATGTTGCAGCGAGGAGAAGGCTGGAGGCAGTGGAGATGTCATGTCTGAGGGCAATGTGTGGTGTGAATATAATGCAGAGAATTCGTAGTTTGGAAGTTAGGAGGAGGTGCGGGATTACCAAAACTGTTGTCCAGAGGGCTGAGGAAGGGTTGTTGAGGTGGTTCGGACATGTAGAGAGAATGGAGCGAAACAGAATGACTTCAAGAGTGTATCAGTCTGTAGTGGAAGGAAGGCGGGGTAGGGGTCGGCCTAGGAAGGGTTGGAGGGAGGGGGTAAAGGAGGTTTTGTGTGCGAGGGGCTTGGACTTCCAGCAGGCATGCGTGAGCGTGTTTGATAGGAGTGAATGGAGACAAATGGTTTTTAATACTTGACGTGCTGTTGGAGTGTGAGCAAAGTAACATTTATGAAGGGATTCAGGGAAACCGGCAGGCCGGACTTGAGTCCTGGAGATGGGAAGTACAGTGCCTGCACTCTGAAGGAGGGGTGTTAATGTTGCAGTTTAAAAACTGTAGTGTAAAGCACCCTTCTGGCAAGACAGTGATGGAGTGAATGATGGTGAAAGTTTTTCTTTTTCGGGCCACCCTGCCTTGGTGGGAATCGGCCGGTGTGATAATAAAAAATAAAAATTTAATCCCACCCCTATGTTCTTATGATCAAAAATTAACAAGACTTATGGAACTGCTTAGTCATCAAAAATTGCAAATTATTATTATTTCAGGTCTTTAGCATTACATGGATTAAGAGCCTGAACACCACTGTCATCAAAGTCTTTAACGCCCATTGATATTGCCACACTTCACAAAAATGGAGTACAGCAATTGCAAAAACCTATAGACCAACAGCACTAACTTCATAAATTATAAAAATCCTTGAAAAGGTCCTGAAAAACAAGACTGCCAAACAGATGGAACTGCACAATCTAGATCAGCATGGGTTTAGAGCAGGTTGCTTTCTCCTTTCACAATTGCTATTCTGCATACCAGAATCATTCCATGTGAAAGCAAGATACTTGGTAGATGGTGCAAAGTATAGTACCTCCAGTAAAAAGCAGGGGAACAATGAGTACACTACTAGAGAATTCAATGAGTGTCAGAGGTTCTCATCTATTAAATGCCCTCCTTCCAAGCATAGTCACCAATGAACCTCTGGCTGTCTTCAAGAGGGAACTGGACACGTTCCTCAAATCAGCTACTGACAACCCTGTCTGTTATTCACACATTGGACTGCATAACAGCCTTGATCCACCAGGCCTGATCTGTACCCAGGCCATGGAGGTATTGATCACCAGAAGCATCCGTCAGATATTCTTCAAATATCCTGCATACTCTTAGTACTGCTCTCTTAATTCTATCATATATACCTCTTTTACCGCATTAGATGTATTCTCTCTAGTTCACCTTTCTTTCAATAATTCCATATACTGACCACTATTTTTTTTTTTTTTTGATCACTCACTTTCCCCTATTCTTACCCACTGACAAGTCTCCCTGTATTACATTTGTCTCTTACTTTGGCTACCACTAGATACTGATCTGACATACAAGTCACATGGACATTTTCTTACTATGGCCATTTTCTTTTTGCCTGGTGCATGACATATAAACTAGTAACAGAACTACTGAAATTCATTAAAAATTTCACACTGGATTTCCCATGTCCCAATCTACTTTTTTTTTTTAACACATCGGCCGTCTACCACTGAGGTAGGGTGACCAACAAAAGAAATAAACACTTCATCATCACTGAACACTTTCACCATCATTCTCACACAATCACTGTCTCGCAGAAGTGCCCATATATGACAGTTCAGATGTCACTCCAAACAGCTAATATCCCATAAGTTTTAAGGCAATTAAAACAATATTTAGAGACTCAGTATGTCCAATATGCAAACAAAAAAAATTAATCAGCATTTTTGAAAATTGGGCAACCCCCATCCTTCCTCAAAAGCCAGATATCTGATGATTTACCATACATGCCTTACCTTCATCATTGCTTTAATGTCATCTGAAGTTTTAGCTGTAGTAGGAATGAAGATGGGCACTGGTAGTGGGACAGGAACAAATATTGGGACTGGGAAAGGTGCATTATACATCATCATGGGTGATGGCACATATACTGGAATAGGCACAGGGAGAATAGGTGGTGGTTCCGATGTAAAGAGGCTGCAGTTGATACCTTTAGGTTCTGAAACAATAAAAATAACATTCTTATTCTTTATTACTGTATACCCATTACAGTATTCATATTTAAACCAGATGCAATTATGAGCACATGTAAAAATTAAAAGAATTCACTGCACTTTCAATTATATCATTGACCACTAAGTCCTTTGCTTTGGCTTTCATACTGGTTTAAGTATTAAAACACCTTGCACCGAGTCATCCTATTATGCTTCATCCTCTCTAGATGCATAAACCACGTCAACAACTCCTCTTCTACCTTTGAATTACACGTTTTGTAAATCCACACACACTGCTCCCAAACATGACACCTCCACTGTCTCCAGCCCCCTATTCATGGTAATGTTTAAAGCTTATGCTTCAAAGGCATTTAAAAGGGGTTAGTAAAAGTAGAGTATACAGTGGACCCTCGACTAACGCTATTAATCCGTTCCTGAGAGCTCATCGTTAGTCAAAATAATCGTTAGTCAAGTTAATTTTCAAACATAAGAAATAATGGAAATCAAATTAATCCGTGCAAGACACCCAAAAGTATTGAAAAAAAATTTTTTTAACACATGAAATATTAATTTTAATACACACAAACTGAAGAAGACATGCACAGTTACATGACACTTACCTTTATTGAAGATCTGGTGATGATTTATGGGACGGGAAGAGGGGAGTGTGTTGATGGTCTTAGTGTTTAGAAGGGGAATCCCCTTCCATTAGGACTTGAGGTGGCAAGTCCTTTTTCGGGGTTACTTCCCTTCTTTTAATGCCACTAGGACCAGCTTGAGAGTCACTGGACCTCTGTCGCACAACATATCTGCCCATAGAGGCCTGTACCTCCCGTTCCTTTATGACATTCCTAACGTGTTTCACAACATTGTCAGTGTCACCATTAAACACTTGTTCAGGTTTCAGTCCTCCACTGTCTATGTACTCCTTGAATTCCTGCACATATTTTTCAGCTGCTTTTTGGTCCAAACTGGCAGCCTCACCATGCCTTATCACACTATGTATGCCACTACGATTCTTAAATCTCTCAAACCAACCTTTGCTGGCCTTAAATTCACTCACATCACCACTAGTTGCTGGCATTTTTCTAATTAAATCGTCATGCAACTTCCTAGCCTTTTCACATATGATCGCTTGAGAGATGCTATCTCCTGCTATCTGTTTTTCGTTTATCCATACCAATAACAGTCTCTCAACATCTTCTATCACTTGCGATCTCAGTTTCGAAAACGTAGTTGCACCTTTGGCAAGAACAGCTTCCTTGATTGCCGTTTTCTTGGCCACAATAGTAGCGATGGTTGATTGGGGTTTTGTGTACAGCCTGGCCAGCTCGGAGACATGCACTCCACTTTCATACTTAGCAATCATCTCTTTCTTCATATCCATAGTAATTCTCACCCTTTTTGCTGTAGGGTTGGCACTAGAAGCTTTCTTGGTGCCCATGGCGACTTATTTTGCAGGTGCAATCACTAAAAAGGCTGTGATAATATGAAATGTTCTGATTGCATGCTTGGAAGCGACCGCGGTGGCTGGCTGGCTTGTAAACACTGGCCAGAAGTGGACGCGACTCAGACCAAGGAATAGTGTTGGTCGAGTTTTTTAGCGCTAATCGAGGCAAAATTTTTGCGATAAAATGTATCGCTAGTCAGATTTATCGTTAATCGATGCCATCGCTGCTCGAGGGTCCACTGTACTATGAAAAATTTCCCTTTGTTGTCTCCATAGATAAAATGCCAGTTTTCAACATACACCTCAACACTTGCTACCTTTTTTCCTTCATCTCTTCTTTGATTCATCTCATCTTTCATTTATTGACGCATTCGATCTTAAGTGTCTAAATAAATACATTTACTCCCTCCCTCCAACCAGATATTTCATCTTTCACTGTCTAAATTCTTTGTTACCCTCATCACCATTCTCTTTTTTATTTTTTATTTTTTTTTTTCAACAAGTCGGCTGTCTCCCACCGAGGCTGGGTGACCCAAAAAGAAAGAAAATCCCCAAAAAGAAAATACTTTCGTCATCATTCAACACTTTCACCTCACTCACACATAATCACTGTTTTTGCAGAGGTGCCCAGAATACAACAGTTTAGAAGTCTTTCTTTCTTTCTTTCAACACACCGGCCGTATCCCACCGAGGCGGGGTGGCCCAAAAGGAAAAACGAAAGTTTCTCCTTTTACATTTAGTAATATATACAGGAGAAGAGGTTACTAGCCCCTTGCTCCCGGCATTTTAGTTGCCTCTTACAACACGCATGGCTTACGGAGGAAGAATTCTGTTCCACTTCCCCATGGAGATAAGAGGAAATAAACAAGAATAAGAACTAGAAAGAAAATAGAAGAAAACCCAGAGGGGTGTGTATATATGTGCTTGTACATGTATGTGTAGTGTGACCTAAGTGTAAGTAGAAGTAGCAAGACGTACCTGAAATCTTGCATGTTCATGAGACAGAAAAAAGGACACCAGCAATCCTACCATCATGTAAAACAATTACAGGCTTTCGTTTTACACTCACTTGGCAGGACGGTAGTACCTCCCTGGGCGGTTGCTGTCTACCAACCTACTACCTATAAGTTTAGAAGTATATACGTATAAAAATACACAATATATTCCTCCAAACTGCCAATATCTCAAACCCCTCCTTTAGAGTGCAGGCATTGTACTTCCCATTTCCAGGACTCAAGTCCGGTTATATAAAATAACCGGTTTCCCTGAATCCCTTCACTAAATATTACCCTGCTCACACTCCAACAGCTCGTCAGGTCCCAAATACCATTTGTCCTCATTCACTCCTATCTAACACGCTCATGCACTCTTGCTGGAAGTCCAAACCCCTCGCCCACAACACCTCCTGTACCCCCTCCCTTCAACCTTTTCGAGGACGACCCCTACCCCGCCTTCCTTCCCCTACAGATTTATACGCTCCCCATGTCATTCTACTTTGATCCATTCTCTCTAAATGACCAAACCACCTCTACAACTCCTCTTCAGCCCTTTGACTAATACTTTTATTAACTCCACACCTTCTCCTAATTTCCACACTCCGAATTTTCTGCATAATATTTACACCATACATTGCCCTTAGACAGGACATCTCCACTACCTCCAACCGCCTCCCCGCTGCAGCATTTGCAGCCAAAGCTTCACTCCCATATAAGAGTGTTGGTACTACTATACTTTCATACATTCCCTTCTTTGCCTCCATAGATAACATTTTTTGCCTCCACATATACCTCACCTTTTTCCCTTCATCAATTCTATGATTAACCTCATCCTTCATAAATCCATCCGCTGACACGTCAACTCCCAAATATCTGAAGACATTCACTTCTTCCATACTCCTCCTCCCTAATTTGATATCCAATTTTTATCTAAATCATTTGATACTCTCATCACCTTACTCTTTTCTATGTTCACTTTCAACTTTCTACCTTTACACACACTCCCAAATTCGTCCACTAACCTTTGCAATTTTTCTTTAGAATCTCCCATAAGCACAGTATCATCAGCAAAAAGTAACTGTCAATTCCCATTTTGTATTTAATTCCCCAAAATTTAATCCCACCCGTCTCTCAAACACCCTAGCATTTACTTCTTTTACAACCCCATCTATAAATATATTAAACAACCATGGTGACATTACACATCCCTCTCTAAGACCTACTTTTACCGGGAAGTATTCTCCCTCTCTTCTACGCACCCTAACCCGAGCCTCACTATCCTCATAAAAACACTTTACAGCATTTAGTAACTTACCACCTATTCCACATTGCTTCCCTATCCACTCTATCATATGCCTTTTCTAAATCCATTAATGCAATAAAAACTTCCCTACCTTTATCTAAATACTGCTCACATATATGCTTCAATGTAAACACTTGATCTACACATCCCCTACCCACTGTAAAACCTCCTTGCTCATCCGCAATTCTACATTCTGTCTTACCCCTAATTCTTTCAATAATAGCCCTACCGTAAACTTTTCCTGGTATACTCAGTAAACTCTTTTCAATATTTAATTTTAATTTCCTTCTTTTATACACCCTTCCAAACACCTCCACCAACCTTTGCAATTGCTAACCATACCCCCGGCAATTGCTCTTCAGAATCTCCCACAATATGTGTAATCAACAATGAGCAAATGTGACAACTCCCACTTCACATAAGTTTCAATGCCTTACAATCCCACACCTCTCCCCAACACTCCAGCATTTGCACTGGGTAAATGAGCTGGGACAGGTAGGATTAAAACTGTGTTAAAAGCAGGTAGGTATAAAATCAGGTTAGGGTATATTGGAGAGAATGGGAATAAATTATTTTCCAGGATTTTTAAGCCTTAGTTTCAAAATTCTCTTTTTTATATCAGTTGCCTTGGTGGGAGATGGCCAGTTAGGTAAAAAAAAAAGATAAATCCTTTGACAAGGATGTGTAATGTCACCAAAGGTGACATTACACATCCTGCTTTTAACACAGTTTTAATCCTACCTGTCCCAGCTGATTTACCCAGTTTCTTTCTACCTATTGCCTCATGCATATCTCTTTCTCTTTTAGTTACAAAGACTCCTAATTAATGAGGTTTTACATATCAATAAACCTTGACTGTGAAAATATGAACATGGGAAAATACAGAAGTATTCATTCTTATTAGTAACTGCTTTATTTGACAACCATTATATTGCTATTGTATTTGGCTGATCAATTATTTAAAAAATTCAAGTAATTTTCCCAATATTTGCCTCAGTATGCCTCATCTTACTCTATTCTTTAAGAAAACACATTTGTTTAAGAAAGCGCTCTATAACTGTAATGCTATCATTAGAAGGATCAGAGAATCAAATTAAAGAAAGAAGGATCCAAACTGTATATTCATTTTCTGAATGTCTTCCTGATCTACCTAAAAAAATAAAAAAGACGCTTGGAAAAAAGGCTTTCATATTAAGAAAAATAAGCACACAAATTAATAAGCAATTCTAGGTTTGTATTTACTTGGTATACAGTAACATTTTTGTCTTCATTTTATTACACTGGGTCAAGGTAGCGTGGTGGTCAGGGTCAAGGTAGCGTGGTGGTCAGGGTCAAGGTAGTGTGGTGGTCAGGGTCAAGGTAACGTGGTGGTCAGGGTCAAGGTAACGTGGTGGTCAGGGTCAAGATAGCATGGTGGTCAGGGTCAAGGTAACGTGGTGGTCAGGGTCAAGATAGCGTGGTGGTCAGGGTCAAGGTAACGTGGTGGTCAGGGTCAAGATAGCATGGTGGTCAGGGTCAAGATAGGGTGGTGGTCAGGGGTCAAGGTAGTGTGGTGGTCAGGGTCAAGGTAGCATGGTGGTCAGGGTCAAGGTAGCGTGGTGGTCAGGGTCAAGGTAGCGTGGTGGTCAGGGTCAAGGTAGTGTGGTGGTCAGGGTCAAGGTAACGTGGTGGCCAGGGTCAAGGTAGCATGGTGGTTAGGGTCAAGGTAACGTGGTGGCCAGGGTCAAGATAGCGTGGTGGTCAGGGTCAAGGTAGCATGGTGGTCAGGGTCAAGGTAACATGGTGGCCAGGGTCAAGGTAGCATGGTGGTTAGGGTCAAGGTAACGTGGTGGCCAGGGTCAAGATAGCGTGGTGGTCAGGGTCAAGGTAGCGTGGTGCCACTTATCCCACTGCTCCAACCCTAATAGCTATGCAAGTACAAAATATAGCTATGCAAGTACAAAATAATGTTGTAATATTGCACACTCATCTAGTAATCCTTGTTAGAGAGCAAGTAACTCACCTGTCTGCGTCTGTCTGTGCCAAGGATGTGGTTTACAGTAAACGCCCTTTGTAAGTGTACTGGGACGACAAGAGGTCATCTTGTTCACCATCGTGGGAGGGATTAGTAGTTTTAAAAATTCAGCTGTTGCCTGAAAAGTAATGAAATACTGCATAAGTATAAATTATTTGCAAAATTCAACAATGAATTAATTACCTTGCACAAACTCCCACATACTAAAAACCATTGTTTTCAATATGTAGTCACTTACAAGTGGTTGCAATGGTCAAGTCAGCTCCTGGCCCTGCCTCTCAACTAATGTACTTCTTGCCAGATTCCCTACCTCCTAACCTCATGGGCCCTCTCATACCTGCTCTTAAAACTATGTATGGAACCTGCCTCCATCAGAGTTACTTTTATATGGTAGGTAGTAGGTTGGTAGACAGCAACCACCCAGGGAAGTACTACCGTCCTGCCAGATGACTGTGAAACAGAAACCTGTAACTGTTTTGCATGATGGTAGGATTGCTGGTGTCTTTTTCTGTCTCATAAACACGCTAGATAACAGTGAGTACAAATAGTACAAATAGGTGAGTACATCTAGGTTTTTCTCCTTTTTCTACATAGCTCTTGTTCTTCTTTATTTCTTCTATTGTCCATGGGGAAGTGGAAAAGAATCTTTCCTCCATAAGCCATGCGTGTCGTATGAGGCGACTAAAATGCCGGGAGCAATGGGCTAGTAACCCCTTCTCCTGTAGACATTTACTAAAAAAGAGAAGAAGAAAAACTTTATAAAACTGGGATGCTTGAATGTGCGTGGATGTCGTGCAGATGACAAGAAACAGATGATTGCTGATGTTATGAATGAAAAGAAGTTGGATGTCCTGGCCCTAAGTGAAACAAAGCTGAAGGGGGTAGGGGAGTTTCGGTGGGGGGAAATAAATGGGATTAAATCTGGAGTATCTGAGAGAGTTAGAGCAAAGGAAGGGGTAGCAGTAATGTTGAATGATCAGTTAATGGAAGAGAAAAGAGAATATGAATGTGTAAATGCAAGAATTATGTGGATTAAAGTAAAGGTTGGATGCGAGAAGTGGGTCATAATAAGCGTGTATGCACCTGGAGATAGAGGAATGCAGAGGAGAGAGAGAGAGATTTTGGGAGATGTTAAGTGAATGTATAGGAGCCTTTGAACCAAGTGAGAGAGTAATTGTGGTAGGGGACCTGAATGCTAAAGTAGGAGAAACTTTTAGAGAGGGTGTGGTAGGTAAGTTTGGGGTGCCAGGGTGTAAATGATAATGGGAGCCCTTTGATTGAACTTTGTATAGAAAGGGGTTTAGTTTATAGGTAATACATATTTTAAGAAAAAAAAGGATAAAAAGTATACAAGATATGATGTAGGGCGAAATGACAGTAGTTTGTTGGATTATGTATTGGTAGATAAAAGACTGTTGAGTAGACTTCAGGATGTACATGTTTATAGGGGCCACAGATATATCAGATCACTTTCTAGTTGTAGCTACACTGAGAGTAAAAGGTAGATGGGATACAAGGAGAACAGAAAGCATCAGGAAGAGAGAGGTGAAGGTTTATAAACTAAAAAGAGGAGGCAGTTAGGGAAAGATATAAACAGCTATTGGAGGATAGAGGGGGCTAATGAGAGCATAGGCAATGGGGTCGAAGAGGTATGGGGTAGGTTTAAAAATGTAGTGTTAGAGTGTTCAGCAGAAGTTTGTGGTTACAGGAAAGTGGGTGCGGGAGGGAAGAGGAGCGATTGGTGGAATGATGATGTAAAGAGAGTAGTAAGGGAGAAAAAGTTAGCATATGAGAAGTTTTTACAAAGTAGAAGTGATGCAAGGAGGGAAGAGTATATGGAGAAAAAGAGAGAGGTTAAGAGAGTGGTGAAGCAATGTAAAAAGAGAGCAAATGAGAGAGTGGGTGAGATGTTATCAACAAATTTTGTTGAAAATAAGAAAAAGTTTTGGAGTGAGATTAACAAGTTAAGGAAGCTTTAGAGAACAAATGGATTTGTCAGTTAAAAATAGGAGAGGAGAGTTATTAAATGGAGAGTTAGAGGTATTGGGAAGATGGAGGGAATATTTTGAGGAATTGTTAAATGTTGATGAAGATAGGGAAGCTGTGATTTCGTGTATAGGGCAAGGAGGAATAACATCTTGTAGGAGTGAGGAAGAGCCAGTTGTGAGTGTGGGGGAAGTTCGTGAGGCAGTAGGTAAAATGAAAGGGGGTAAGGCAGCCGGGATTGATGGGATAAAGATAGAAATGTTAAAAGCAGGTGGGGATATAGTTTTGGAGTGGTTGGTGCAATTATTTAATAAATGTATGGAAGAGGGTAAGGTACATAGGGATTGGCAGAGAGCATGCATAGTTCCTTTGTATAAAGGCAAAGGGGACAAAAGAGAGTGCAAAAATTATAGGGGGATAAGTCTGTTGAGTATACCTGGTAAAGTGTATGGTAGAGTTATTACTGAAAGAATTAAAAGTAAGACTGAGAATAGGATAGCAGATGAACAAGGAGGCTTTAGGAAAGGTAGGGGGTGTGTGGACCAGGTGTTTACAGTGAAACATATAATTATTTATTATTATTATCACACTGGCCGATTCCCACCAAGGCAGGGTGGCCCGAAAAAGAAAAACTTTCACCATCATTCACTCCATCACTGTCTTGCCAGAAGGGTGCTTTACACTACAGTTTTTAAACTGCAACATTAACACCCCTCCTTCAGAGTGCAGGCACTGTACTTCCCATCTCCAGGACTCAAGTCCGGCCTGCCGGTTTCCCTGAATCCCTTCATAAATGTTACTTTGCTCACACTCCAACAGCACGTCAAGTATTAAAAACCATTTGTCTCCATTCACTCCTATCAAACACGCTCACGCATGCCTGCTGGAAGCAGGCATGCAGTATTTAGATAAGGCTAAAGAGGTCTTTGTGGCATTTATGGATTTGGAAAAGGCATATGACAGGGTGGATAGGAGGGCAATGTGGCAGATGTTGCAGGTGTATGGTGTAGGAGGTAGGTTACTGAAAGCAGTGAAGAGTTTTTACGAGGATAGTGATGCTCAAGTTAGAGTACATAGGAAAGATGGAAATTATTTCCCAGTAAGAGTAGGCCTTAGACAAGGATGTGTGATGTCACCGTGGTTGTTTAATATATTTATAGATGGGGTTGTAAGAGAAGTAAATGCGAGGGTCTTGACAAGAGGTGTGGAGTTAAAAGATAAAGAATCACACATAAAGTGGGAGTTGTCACAGTTGCTCTTTGCTGATGACACTGTGCTCTTGGGAGATTCTGAAGAGAAGTTGCAGAGATTGGTGGATGAATTTGGTAGGGTGTGCAAAAGAAGAAAATTAAAAGTGAATACAGGAAAGAGTAAGGGTTATGAGGATAACAAAAATATTAGGTGATGAAAGATTGGATATCAGATTGGAGGGAGAGAGTATGGAGGAGGTGAATGTATTCAGATATTTGGGAGTGGACGTGTCAGCGGATGGGTCTATGAAGGATGAGGTGAATCATAGAATTGATGAGGGGAAAAGGGTGAGTGGTGCACTTAGGAGTCTGTGGAGACAAAGAACTTTGTCCTTGGAGGCAAAGAGGGGAATGTATGAGAGTATACTTTTACCAACACTCTTATATGGGTGTGAAGCATGGGTGATGAATGTTGCAGCAAAAAGTAACTGTGTCAATTCCCATTTTGAATTTGATTCCCCATAATTTAATCCCACCCCTCTCCCGAACACCCTAGCATTTACTTCCTTTACAACCCCATCTATAAATATATTAAACAACCATGGTGACATTACACATCCCTGTCTAAGACCTACTTTTACCGGGAAGTATTCTCCCTCTCTTCTACACACCCTAACCTGAGCCTCACTATCCTCATAAAAGCTCTTTACAGCATTTAGTAACTTACCACCTATTCCATAAACTTGCAACATCTGCCACATTGCTCCTCTATCCACTCTATCATATGCCTTTTCTAAATCCATAAATGCAATAAAAACTTCCCTACCTTTATCTAAATACTGTTCACATATATGCTTCAATGTAAACACTTGATCTACACACCCCTACCCACTCTGAAGCCTCCTTGCTCATCCGCAATTCTACATTCTGTCTTACCTCTAATTCTTTCAAATTATAACTCTACCATATACTTTTCCTGTATACTCAGTAAACTTATTCCTCTATAATTTTTACAATCTCTTTTGTCCCCTTTCCCTTTATATAAAGGGACTATACATGCTCTCCGCCAATCCCTAGGTACCTTCCCTCTTTCATACATTTATTAAACAAAAGTACCAACCACTCCAACACTATATCCCCCCTGCTTTTAACATTTCTGTCATGATCCCATCAGTTCCAGCTGCTTTACCCCCTTTCATTCTACGTAATGCCTCACGTACCTCCACCACACTTACATTCTGCTCTTCTTCACTCCTAAAAGATGGTATACCTCCCTGGCTAGTGCATTAAATTACCGCCTCCCTTTCTTCCTCAACATTTAAAAGTTCCTCAAAATATTCTCGCCATCTACCTAATACCTCCCTCTCCCCATCTACTAACTCCCCTACTCTGTTTTTAATGGACAAATCCATACTTTCCCTAGGCTTTCTTAACTTGTTTAACTCACTCCAAAATTTTTTCTTATTTTCATTAAAATTTCTTGACAGTGCCTCTCCCACTCTTTCATCTGCTCTCCTTTTGCACTCTCTCACCACTCTCTTCACCTTTCTTTTACTCTCCATATACTCTGCTCTTCTTATAACACTTCTGCTTTGTAAAAACCTCTCGTAAACTACCTTTTTCTCTTTTATCACACCCTTTACTTCATCATTCCACCAATCACTCCTCTTTCCTCCTACCCCCACCCTCCTATAACCACAAACTTCTGCCCCACATTCTAATACTGCATTTTTAAAACTATTCCAACCCTCTTCAACCCCCCCACTACTCATCTTTGCACTAGCCCACCTTTCTGCCAGTAGTCGCTTATATCTCGCCCGAACTGCCTCCTCCCTTAGTTTATACACTTTCACTTCCCTCTTACTTGTTTTTGCCACCTTCCTCTTTTCCCATCTACCTCTTACTCTAACTGTAGCTACAACTAAAGAATGATCTGACATAT